CTAAAGGATGGCACCGTCGACATCTGTCGAGCTTGTCGCCATCCCGGTGAGTCACTTAGGCATGTTATCTCCGGTTGTTCGGCGCTTTCTAACTCTGAGTACTTGCACAGGCACAACCTAGTAGCCAGAATTCTACACCAGGAGCTCGCTCTGAAATACGGTCTCGTGGATCGGAAATTGCCGTACTACAAGTACTTGCCGGAAGCCGTGCTCGAAAATGATCGCGCCAGGCTCTATTGGGACCGGGCCATCATCACAGACAGGACTATTCTTGCGAATAAGCCTGATATTGTGCTGATGGACCGGGCACAGTCAAGGATATTTTTGGTCGACATTACCATTCCGTATGACGAGAACCTCGTGAAAGCCGAAACAGACAAGCAAACAAAATATCTGGACCTGGCTCACGAGGTGACCGACATGTGGGGTGGTCTGCCGACCGAAATTATTCCTGTAGTCGTCTCTGCAAACGGGCTAATCCCAGTCAGCCTCTCGGGTCATCTGAGGCGGCTGGGACTACGTGGCGGACCGCTCCAGGTTCAAATGCAGAAGGCGGTGCTCCTCGATACCGCCCGCATCGTCCGCCGGTTTCTTTCCCTTTCCCCCTAACACTCGGCCGTTTGGTCTCCCCTGCCGAGGGCCTCCATCTGGTTGGGCTTTTACTTATTTATGTACTTTTATATTTATTTTATGTTATTGATATTTATGTATATTTATCTTTTCATTTTCATTTATAATTATATATTTATAGAACCCAACCAGATGAGAAAACTATATAGATACCCTAAATAATAATAATAAGCCACTTACAAGTCTAACCCCACGTCCGAGCTTAACACCTACGCTCACGTAAGTGGCGGACACCCGCAACGAAGGTACTTTGTGAGTGACCAACGGGGCTCTAGCACACCCATCAATATGGAGTTGCGAAAATAGAAGTATTAGTAAAGGACCGCTTCCCGAGGGCAATCGTCGGGGCACGCCTGGAGCCGGTGCTGGGCGTTTCAGTATGCGAACCACCGGTGGCGAGGGTTTACCTGGACGGCCCTCTGCCGGGTCTCCCGAACAATGCGAGTTCAGCGCATCATCAGCACTAACACCGTCTGATGAATACAAGTGCGATAGTAAAGCAGTCTCTCCGGCCTCGGATGTTTCACGGGCGGCAAGGGCCACTCAACCTGTGACCACCAAAGCTGGCAAACCTAGAGTGCGCATGAAATGGGATGAAGAAATAAATACTTTCATTATGCGCACTTACTTTTACATTACCAAATTAGAAACCGATCGCACTATGTACGTTAAGAAATTATTTGATCAATTTCAATTAAAATATCCTCATATAAATGTCACATCTCAACGTATTGCAGACCAGAGACGAGTAATAATAAGAAATAAATTGTTATCTGATGAACAAATCAAAAGTATAAAGCAACAAGCAGCTAAAATAATTGAAAACGAGAAAGCTGAGAATAATATTTCGGACTCACGTTCAGATACAAGAGACACCAATCATATGACGGCGGGTAATTCAAATCTCGACCTTTTTAGCCGTCGTCAGTCATCTCCGCCCTCTTCCTTATTCGAAACTCAATCAATTACTTTAACATCCGATTCTGCAACACAAACTCTATCAATGAGCTGCACGGCTCAAACTAGTATTTTAAGTGTTTCACACCCAGCTGAAATAAATCTCCCAGATTATGGTTTAGTACAGAAATTAACCAACGAACTGAAGACTAATCTAGCATTGTATACTGGTACGGACCCCAACATAAGACCCAAACTGCCGCGATTGAAAGAAAATAAGCAGCTATATAGTTTACTTAACATTTTTAATAGTCATATACTACCCAAATTCTATAGTATTGATTCTGAGATACTACATATTCATACCCTCATATATTGTTCAGCTTTAGTTATCTCAAAACTATTAGGATATAAAATTTCAAACGACCCCTTAAAAAAGCGAAATTCATTTAACAATAAACCGGCATGGCAAATAAGATTAGAAATAGATATATCTATCCTGCGCGCTGATGTGGCTAGATTAACACAATTTATTAACAATAATAGACATCCTCGATTAGTTAAGAAAATTGATTTAATATTTGATAAATATAAAGTTCATTCAACTTATGATAAAAATAATATTAGACCAGCTGAATTTTTAGACACTCTAAAACAAAAACTTGCACTTAAAACCCAAAGACTAGCCAGATACAAAAAAGCCCTACAGAGAAAAGAAGACAATAGGCTTTTTCAGACTAATGAAAAAGGATTTTATAGGATGCTCAAACATAATATAAGTAATGTATCCAATGAACCCAAGGAAGTACCAACTGAAGAAGAACTTAAAAACTACTGGACTGAAATATGGAAGAAAAATAATGAACATAATGAGCAGGCAAGTTGGATCAATGAAGAAGAAAATAAAGCAGAAGCTATTGAATTGATGGAATTCACAGAAGTTACTAAATTAGATATTGAACATGTAACCAAAAAAATGAAAAACTGGAAAGCTACTGGACCCGATAATGTTCACAACTTTTGGTATAAAAAATTCTCGGCCCTACACGATATTTTAGCGAAAATTATTACAGATATATTAAAAGGCGCATCAGAGATCCCATCATTTGTAACCGTAGGTACTACTTTCATGATTCCCAAAAGTGATAAAACAGCAGATCCCTCACAGTACCGACCGATTACGTGTCTCCCAACTATATACAAACTAATAACCTCTTGTATAACACTAAAAATAAATACGCATTTAACACATAATAAAGTATTAGCGGAGGAACAAAAAGGATGCAGACAGAATCACAGAGGATGCAAAGAACAACTCATTATCGACTCGATGATTAACACGCTACCTCTCACAACCGTAATCTTAACCTAACATATATTGATTATAAGAAAGCATTCGACAGTGTACCTCACTCTTGGCTGATACGAGTTTTGCAAATTTATAAAATCAACCCGGACATTATTTCTTTCCTGGAGAGAGTTATGGGTACTTGGAAAACTAAATTACACCTTAATGACGGCAGTAAGACCATAGTCACAGACGATATACCAATCGCTAATGGCATTTTCCAGGGAGATTCATTGAGTCCACTGTGGTTTTGTCTGGCTCTTAACCCTTTATCTTCTTTACTCAACAAAAACAATCATGGGTATAAATTAACTAAAGACACCTATGTTAATCATTTAATGTATATGGACGATATAAAACTTTTTGCCAAATCAGAAAAAGAAATGAACGCCCTCATAAAAATTACAGCTGAGTTTAGTAAAGATATAAACATGACCTTTGGTTTTAATAAATGTAAAACGCTTAAACTTCATAAAGGTAGAGTCAATAGTAGTACAGAAAGTCAATACGATATGTTTACATTGATGGACGAAAATGATACATATAAATATCTAGGCTTGCGTGAAGGAAGTAGACCATCTCTTAAAAAGGACCTTAGTAATGAATATTTACGTAGGTTGAATCTAGTTTGTAAAAAGCAACTTAATTCTAGAAATTTATTCAAAGCTATTAACACTTTTGCCATCCCAATACTTACCTATTCTTTCGGAGTAATTAAATGGTCAACTACAGATATACGAAATCTTGAAATCAAAACTAGGACTACCATAACTAAACACAAATATTTGCATCCTAAATCGGCAATTGAACGACTTACGATAAAAAGAGCTATAGGAGGCAGGAGTCTAATCGATCTTAAAATGTTATGGGAAGGGCAAGTCAAAAACCTGCAATCTTTCTTTTATGAAAAATCAGCTAATAGTCCGATACATCAAGCAGTCATTGAATCCGATAACAATTATACCCCTCTAAATCTAAGTAATCTCCTCGAATTCAAAGGAAAGCTATCAAAGTGGCGTAGTAAAGAATTACATGTAACATGCACACGATTAGAACAACCTCACATAACTTCTCTTCAAATAAATTTAAAAATATCTCTCCCAAACCAATTCTATTGCCATTCAGGATCAAGTAATCAATACAAGAAACTATAAAAAATACATATTAAAAGACCCAAACATCAGAACGATTGTAGAAAATGCCACCGCCAACCCGAAACTATACAACATATTACCGGTGCTTGTCCCAGCCTAGTACAAACTGATTACACCCACCGTCATAACCAGGTTGCTAATTACGTTCATCAAAAACTTGCAAATAAACACAATTTAATCCCGAACCAAAAACTACTGCCGTACTATCAGTATACCCCCAAACCTGTTCTGGAGAGCGACAGTCACAGAATGTACTTTGATAGAGCTATTCTTACCGATAAAACAATTCATTACAATAGACCGGATATAACTTTAATTGATAAATTAAATAAAACAGTATATCTAATTGATATAGCGATCCCAAGTACCCATAATATACAAAAAACCATTACTGAAAAAAATCATAAATACACAGAATTAAAAGAAGAAGTAACTAGAATCTGGAAAATGAACAAAGTATATATTGTACCGCTGGTTCTCTCCAGTACTGGTGTGATCCCGAAATGTTTGTCTCTCTCCCTTAAACGATTAGATCTTCCTGAAAATAGTTATATTACCATGCAAAAAAGCAGCCATCCTCAACACGTGCCGTATAGTCCGAAAATTTTTGCAAGAAGACATCTCGGATTTTGATTCCCAAATGGATGCGCACTTGGCTTAGGCCCGTGAAAATCTCTTAAAAACCAAGATTTTACAAAATCTTGAGAAAGAAAAAAAGAATAATAATAATAATAATAATAAATAATAATAATAATAAGGCGTAGGGAAGTGACGACCCCATCGCCCGCTGACGTAACAGTTATGTGACAAAACTGCGACGTCGGCGCAGTCAGTCAGCATCCTGCCAAGAGGTGTGAGCGTCGTGCCTAGGCAAAATTGTAGGTGCAAAGGTCCGTTTGTGCATATGACCCAACCACGAAACGGTGCCGGGCTTGGGCGTCTCCCGCTATTTGGCGCCCATAAAATGGATGATGGAAGAAACACAAAAAGGAACGCGCATAGGGCCGCTGCCTGGGGGGCGCCGGGGCGCGTCTGGAGCTGGCGCTGGACGCGGCAGCATGCGGGCCGCCAGCCGAGCACGAGGAGCTGCACGTACACCTAGCAGCCCCTCGCATCCATCATCCCCACCAGAAGGCTTGGTGTCGGCTGGGTCTTCTCGGACCCAGCAAGCGGCACCCGCCGCTGGTGGAGCACGTCGCATGCGTTGGACAAAATCCATGAACGAAAACGCATTGCGGGCGTACTATAGGGCGAAAGGGGAAGAAACTGTGGGAATAGCGTATAGGTCTCGGATGCATTGCTTTTTTGCTGAGCTGGAGCCGTCTATCCCCGTCACGGAACAAAACCTGGCAGACCGAGTTCGGTACATCATGCGCTCGAAAATACTTGATGATGCCGAACTCGAACGACTACGACGTGAGGCTATTCCGTCGTCGAATGAATCGGCTATGGCTGGAGATGCAGCTCCACATTCGACAGACCAGCATCCACACGTGGAAGCCGCCATGGATCTTCCAGTTGTGGTTGATTCGAACGACGATGAAATAGTCTCCCACGAACTAGAGCAAATGAGGAGTATATTGGAAGAGGCGATTTTGGAAACGCGCAGCACCCCTCTCGAAAATCGACCACGACTTCCCCGCATACCCTTAAGCAAGCGAAATCGGGCTGTCGTGAGGGCTCTTAACCCAATACTGGTGACCTATTTGGAAGCCAGCCGGGACCTTTGCGAGACGGACTCGATTCTCTTTGGCGCCGCAGTGGCAGTTTGCCGTATTATTGGCGCCAAACTTCCCATGGCTGGACGCGCTACTACACAAAGTAGCGCCATCCCAGCCTGGAGAAAAAGAATCGAGGACCGTATCGCAAAGGCAAGGGCCCTTATCGGCAGACTGACAAGCTTCAGGTCGGGTAATAATAGACCGAGGATTATGCGCACCGTTAGGATGGCGTTTGCTGGGACAAATATCAGTTTGTCCCAGCCGGATATCACGCAGAAACTAACGGAGCGCATAGACGACCTGAAGCAAAAGATCGCTGCTTGGGGGAAGCGGATTCGACGATTTTCCGAGGGGTCAAGGCGGTTCAACCAGAATCGTCTCTTCCAGAGTGATCAGAAGAGGCTCTATAAATTATTGGAGCGACCAAAGGTATGTGGAGCGGGCCAAGGACCGGATCAGGCTGACATTATCGCATTCTGGCGTGGCCTGTGGTCAGAGCCCGTAAACCACAGCGAGGGCCCTTGGATGGAAGTTGTGGCGAGCCAGGGTGCGAGTGTTACGCCTATGGACCCCATCACCATAACGCCGGAAGACGTGGCTGAGGCGGTCCGTAGGGCCCCGAACTGGAAAAGTCCGGGGCTCGACGGGCTGCATCATTACTGGCTGAAGGGGTTCGTAGTGTGTCACGCTGTGCTCGCCCGACAGTTTCAAGAGGCTCTCGACCAGAAGTCACTCCCGAGCCTCTTCACTACTGGGATCACTCACTTGGTTCCTAAAGATCAGGATACCACAGACCCGAGCAAATACCGCCCCATCACGTGTCTACCCACCATATATAAGACACTGACATCCATTTTGAGCGCGAGAATCACTCGTCACCTGGAGCTAAACCAGGTGATGTCACGCGCTCAAAATGGATGTCGGGGCGGTGGTCGTGGAACCAAGGAACCACTCCTCATTGACGCGGTCATAGGCAAAGTGGTGAAACGCAACCGTCGGAACTTCTCCGCCGCCTGGATAGACTACAGAAAGGCATTCGACTCGGTGCCCCATACATGGCTAAAGAGGGTCCTCGAGCTGTACAAGATTGACTGTACAGTTAGAGACTTCCTCGAGCAGTGTATGGGGCAGTGGAGTACGATCCTTTGTCATCTGGGCGAGCGGATGACGGCTGCGGAGAACCACATAAGGATAAGAAGGGGTATCTTCCAGGGCGATTGTCTGAGTCCAATCTGGTTCTGCCTCTCTCTTAACCCTCTCAGTACCTTACTGGAGGGCTCCGGGAGGGGATTTCAGCTACGGAAAGGAGGGACAAAAGTGACCCACCTTTTCTATATGGATGACCTCAAGTTATTCGCCTCCAGTCGCTCCCATCTTAAGGAACTGCTAAACATCACTTGTGAATTTAGCAGTTCCATTGGAATGGAGCTGGGGACGGATAAGTGTGCGGTCCTCCATGTTGAAAGGGGAAGGGTTGCTAACTCTGAGGGCATAGACTTGTCTATGCCCGTCAACTTAAGGACCCTTTCCGAGGCTGAAACATACCGATACCTGGGTATGTCACAGAACATCGGTATCGATGAGGCTGGTGTGAAACAGTCAGTTTGCGACGTGTTTTATGCACGCTTGACCAAAGTGCTTAACAGCCTTTTGTCCGGTGTGAATAAGACACACGCATATAACGGCTGGGTCATGCCTGTCCTCATGTATACCTTTGGCATACTCAGGTGGACTCAGACCGAGCTTTACGCCCTGGATAGAAAAGTCCGCACAACCATGACGTCCCATAGGATGCATCATCCGAGATCGTCGGTAATGAGGCTGTACTTGCCGCGGAAGTATGGTGGGCGTGGCTTTCTGAGCGCGCTCACCATGCATAATCGCGAAGTGTGCAGTCTCCGTCAGTACTTCTTGGCGAGATCGGATGATCCATTCTATAATGACGTCATTTCTAGTGATAAAGGGCTTACCCCTCTATCCTTAGCCAACGAGCAATGGCAGGACCCAGCAGTGCTTAGCAATTCCGACCGGGAGACCGTATGGAAGGAGAAGGAGCTCCACGGGAGGTACTACAAGGCTCTACATGAGCCCTTCGTAGATACAGTCGCCTCCCTCAACTGGCTACGTTTCGGTGACCTCTTCGGGGAAACCGAGGGTTTTGTCTGTGCAATACAGGATCAGGTTATTAAGACCAACAACTATCGGAGATACATCCTAAAGGATGGCACCGTCGACGTCTGTCGAGCTTGTCGCCATCCCGGGGAGTCACTTAGGCATGTCATCTCCGGTTGTTCGGCGCTTTCTAACTCTGAGTACTTGCACAGGCACAACCTAGTAGCCAGAATTCTACACCAGGAGCTCGCTCTGAAATACGGTCTCGTGGACCGGAAATTGCCGTATTACAAGTACTTGCCGGAAGCCGTGCTCGAAAATGACCGCGCCAGGCTCTACTGGGACCGGGCCATCATCACAGACAGGACTATTCTTGCGAATAAGCCTGATATTGTGCTGATGGACCGGGCACAGTCAAGGATATTTTTGGTCGATATTACCATCCCGTATGACGAGAACCTCGTGAGAGCCGAAACAGATAAGCAATCAAAATATCTGGACCTGGCTCACGAGGTGACCGACATGTGGGGTGGTCTGCCGGCCGAAATTATCCCTGTAGTCGTCTCTGCGAATGGGCTAATCCCAGTTAGCCTCTCTGGTCATCTGAGGCGACTGGGACTCCGTGACGGACCGCTCCGGGCTCAAATGCAGAAGGCGGTGCTCCTTGATACTGCCCGCATCGTCCGCCGGTTTCTTTCCCTTTCTTCCTAACCCTTGGCCGTTTGGTCTCCCCTGCCGAGGGCTTCCATCTGGTTGGGCTTTTATTTATTTATGTATTTTTGTATTTATTTTATTTTATTGATATTTATGTATATTTATCCTTTCATTTTCGTTTATAATTATATATTTATACATCCCAACCAGATGAGAAAACTATATAGATACCCCCATTTATAATAATAATAAATGGTGGGTAGGGAAGTGACGACCCCATCGCCCGTTGACGTGACGGTTATGTGACAAAACCGCTACGTCCGCGCAGTCAGTCAGCACCTTTGCCAAGAGGTGTGAGCGCCGTGCCTCGGCAAAAATTGATGGTGCAAGGGCCCGCTTGTGCATATGGCCTCACCATGAAACGGCGCCGGGTCTGGGCGTCTCCCGTTAAATGACGCCCTGTATGGATGATGGAACATAGAAGATTGCGCAAAGGGCCGCTGCCTGGAGGTCGTCAGGGCGCGTCTGGAGCTGGCGCTGGACGCGACAGCATGCGAACCGCCAGCCGAGCGCGAGGTGCTGCACGACCACCCAGCAGCCCCTCGCATCCATCATCCCCACCAGCTTGCTTGGTGTCGGCAGGGTCTTCGCAGGCCCAGCAATCGGCACCCGCCACTGGTGGAGTACGCCGCATGCGATGGACCATCAATATGAATTCAAACGCATTGCTGGCGTATTTTAGGGCGAAAGGGGGAGAAATTGGAGGTTTCGCGTATCGGGCTAGGATGCATCGTCTTTTTACTGAGCTGGAGCCATCTATTACTGTCACCGAGCAAAACCTGGCAGACCGAGTTCGGTATATCTTACGCTCAAATATATGATAGATAGATAGATGGCGCCGAACTCGAACGGCTACGACGTGAGGCTGTTCCCTCATCAAATGAAAACGCTACGACTGATGGTGCGGTGCCACAAGTTGCAGAACAACCCGCACACGTGGATGCCGCCGAGAATACCCCAGTGGTTGCCGATTCAAATGATGATGGAACATTCACCCAGGAACTAGAAATAGAGCAAATGAGGAGTACATTGGAAGAGGCGATTATGGAAACGCGCAGTACGCCTCTCGAAAATCGACCGCGACTTCCCCGCATAGCCCTAAGCAAGCGGAATCGGGCTGTCGTGAGGGCTCTGAACCCAATGCTGGTGACCTATTTGGAAGCCAGCCGGGACCTTTGCGAGACGGACTCAATTCTCTTTGGCGCCGCACTGGCAGTCTGCCGTATTATAGGCGCCAAACTTTCCACGGCTGGACGCACTACTGGACAAAGTAGTGCTATCCCAGCCTGGAGAACAAGAATTGAAGAACGTATCGCAAAGGCTAGGGACCCTCATCGGCAGACTGATATGCTTCAGGTCAGGCAATACCAGGCCAAGGATTGTGCGCACCGTCAGGATGGCGTTTGCTGGGACAAATGTTAGTTTGTCCCAGCCGGATATAATGCAAAAACTGACGGAGCGCATAGACGACCTGAAGCAGAGAATCGCTGCTTGGGGAAAGCGAATTCGGCGATATACCGAGAGGTCGACACGGTTCAACCAGAATCGTCTCTTCCAGAGTGATCAGAAGAGGCTCTATAAATCATTGGAGCGACCAATGGTAAGTGGAACGGACCCAGTACCGAATCAGGCCGACACGGTCGCATTCTGGCGCAGCCTGTGGTCAGAGCCCGTAAACCACAACGAGGGCCCTTGGACGGAAGTTGTGGCGAGTCAGTGTGCGGGTATTACGCCCATGGACCCTCCAGTCGCTCCCATCTTATGGAATTGCTAAACATCACTTGTGAATTTAGCAATTCCATTGGAATGGAGCTGGGGACGGATAAGTGTGCGGTCCTCCGATACCTGGGTATGTCACAGAACATCGGTATCGATGAGGCTGGTATGAAACAGTCAGTTTGCGACGTGTTTTATGCACGCTTGACCAAAGTGCTTAATAGCCTTTTGTCCGGTGTGAATAAGACACACGCATATAACGGTTGGGTCATGCCTGTCCTTATGTATACCTTTGGCATACTCAGGTGGACTCAGACTGAACTTAACGCCCCGGATAGAAAAGTCCGCACTACCATGACGTCCCATAAGATGCATCATCCGAGATCGTCGGTAATGAGGCTGTACTTGCCGCGAAAGCATGGTGGGCGTGGCTTTCTGAGCGCGCTCACCATGCATAATCGTGAAGTGTGCAGCCTCCGTCATTACTTCCTGGCGAGATCGGATGATCCATTCTATAATGACGTCATTTCTAGTGATAAAGGGCTTACCCCTCTATCCTTAGCCAACGAGCAATGGCAGGACCCAGCAGTGCTTAGCATTTCCGACCGGGAGACCGTATGGAAGGAGAAAGAGCTCCACGGGAGGTACTACAGGGCTCTACATGAGCCCTTCGTAGATACAGTCGCCTCCCTCAACTGGCTGCGTTTCGGTGACCTCTTCGGGGGAAACCGAGGGTTTTGTCTGTGCAATACAGGATCAGGTTATTAAGACCAACAACTATCGGAGATACATCCTAAAGGATGGCACCGTCGACGTCTGTCGAGCTTGTCGCCATCCCGGTGAGTCACTTAGGCATGTTATCTCCGGTTGTTCGGCGCTTTCTAACTTTGAGTACTTGCACAGGCACAACCTAGTAGCCAGAATTCTACACCAGGAGCTCGCTCTGAAATACGGTCTCGTGGACCGGAAATTGCCGTATTACAAGTACTTGCCGGAAGCCGTGCTCGAAAATGACCGCGCCAGGCTCTACTGGGACCGGGCCATCATCACAGACAGGACTATTCTTGCGAATAATCCTGATATTGTGCTGATGGACCGGGCACAGTCAAGGATATTTTTGGTCGATATTACCATCCCGTATGACGAGAACCTCGTGAAAGCCGAAACAGATAAGCAATCAAAGTACCTGGACCTGGCTCACGAGGTGACCGACATGTGGGGTGGTATGCCGACCGAAATTATTCCTGTAGTCGTCTCTGCGAATGGGCTAATCCCAGTTAGCCTCTCTGATCATCTGAGGCGACTGGGACTCCGTGACGGACCGCTCCGGGCTCAAATGCAGAAGGCGGTGCTCCTTGATACTGCCCGCATCGTCCGCCGGTTTCTTTCCCTTTCCCCCTAACCCTTGGCCGTTTGGTCTCCCCCTGCCGAGGGCTTCCATCTGGTTGGGCTTTTATTTATTTATGTATTTTTTGTATTTATTTTATTTTATTGATATTTATGTATATTTATCTTTTCATTTTCATTTATAATTATATATTTATACATCCCAACCAGATGAGAAAACTATATAGATACCCCACATAATAATAATACAGGATCAGGTTATTAAGACCAACAACTATCGGAGATACATCCTAAAGGATGGAACCGTCGACGTCTGTCGAGCTTGTCGCCATCCCGGGGAGTCACTCAGGCATGTCATCCCCGGTTGTTCGGCGCTTTCTAACTCTGAGTACTTGCACAGGCACAACCTAGTAGCCAGAATTCTACACCAGGAGCTCGCTCTGAAATACGGTCTCGTGGACCGGAAATTGCCGTATTACAAGTACTTGCCGGAAGCCGTGCTCGAAAATGACCGCGCCAGACTCTACTAGGACCGGGCCATCATCACAGACAGGACTATTCTTGCGAATAAGCCTGATATTATGCTGATGGACCGGGCACAGTCAAGGATATTTTTGGTCGATATTACCATCCCGTATGACGAGAACCTCGTGAGAGCCGAAACAGATAAGCAATCAAAATATCTGGACCTGGCTCACGAGGTGACGGACATGTGGGGTGGTCTGCCGGCCGAAATTATTCCTGTAGTCGTCTCTGCGAATGGGCTAATCCCAGTTAGCCTCTCTGGTTATCTGAGGCGACTGGGACTCCGTGACGGACCGCTCCGGGCTCAAATGCAGAAGGCGGTGCTCCTTGATACTGCCCGCATCGTCCGCCGGTTTCTTTCCCTTTCTTCCTAACCCTTGGCCGTTTGGTCTCCCCTGCCGAGGGCTTCCATCTGGTTGGGCTTTTATTTATTTATGTATTTTTGTATTTATTTTATTTTATTGATATTTATGTATATTTATGCTTTCATTTTCGTTTATAATTATATGTTTATACATCCCAACCAGATGAGAAAACTATATAGATACCCCACACATAATAATAATAATAATACGTGACCACGGCCTGCATTAGCCACTTAGTATACAGGTACTATCAGTCTGTTTGTTGCCTGTTAGTTTATTTTTCCCTTTAAATGTAATAAAAAAACGTTCGATTAAATTATTTCACATTTTTTGAGAAGTAGATAACTTATATTCGTTCACCAAAATAAGTATGATAAATGTACCTCTTTAGTAAAAAAGCAAGTAAAATACTAAATTAATTAATAATTTTTTAATTATTTACAGGTTTTATAACGTGTAAAAAGAAATAATATAAAAATGTTTAGAAAAAAGTTTAGTTATGTAACGTTATACATATAATATTGCCTCTTTTATTTATAAGATTATAAATATTATCTTTATCTTAACAACTATGATTTGAATTTATCATTACAACTATAATTTTTTATTTTTGTATTGCAACCATAAAATGGCTGCAACATGACTCTACCAGGTATACTGATGTTTGTTCTTACACAACTAGTTTAAAACGTTTTGCTTACTTCGTGTAAGTATGTAATTACATACATACCTTAAATAGATAAATATACCGTGTAGTAGCGGAGTAAGAATTTCTACAACGCCATATCATCCTATGGGTGTTCTAACAGGAGACAGAGGGAAATAAATCAAATAAAAAAACTGCAGTTGCCTACTCTCTTGCCTGGCATTGCAATTATGGCAAATATGGGATATTTACCATATTTGCCTATGAGGCAATCTAAGGGGGAGGCCTATATTCTGCAGTATATATGGCCTTTAGTGGAAACCGTTATTTTATAAATGGATAAGTTATAAACTTGTCATTTTGGCTTTTATTGATTAGCTATATAGCCGGTCTACTGCCACTTCAGCTTACTAATCTGTTAAACTTTTTGTCATTGTGTAATATCATTAATGAATAAGTTATAACATTTTTGCTTCAATGGTGCTTTGAATGTAAACGTGCAACTCAAACAATACATATTAAAACCATGTTGCGTCACTGCACATGGCGGCCTGTGATCCTTTTAATAAACTGCTTTAAGTATATAATATGTGAATTTCTCACAGTAATAAATACTGTTTTTTTTTTATATCCTAACACAAACAGTTCAAAAAATCTTTGTGCTATTTATTTTTAGTGTTTTATATCATCAATTGATATGTTACCACTCAGTCATTTTGGTTTTAATTGTGCTTGGGATGTAAAACTTACTAATCATTCAATACATATTAAAACAATGTCCCGAGACTGTATACATGTTTGGTGCACCTGAGTACATCTAAATTGACGCAAAAACACACTTGCTTAAATTCTCGACACTGAATCGTGCACACACTTTCTTCTTTCTTTCTTTAACTCCCGTTAAAAGTTCACTGTTATATGCACACATAAACTTCAAAACCATGTTACTAGTTGTAAATTAATTTAGATACATAAGTTCATGGGTACCTGTTTTACAATTAGTTACAATTAGCGACAAACCTGTCGTTACCATCGCCCATCAAAAAACCAACCCATCGCTCGTTAGAGTAGGTTAGATAGGGCCAAGCTGCAGCTACATTATAGTTGTAGCATAAATGAGTCGGCTCAACTGGGGCACGATAACGCTCTTACAGAAAACCAGCGTAAAATAGAAGCGTAATGCTGCTGTGTTTCGTATGGTGAGTGTAAAGAACCACCGACCATTTTTAATGGAATTGATGCATTCTTAGTCCTCAGGGGTGACAACGCATTTGCATTTTGATTCTGAATTGTGGATAAATGTGGGTGTCTATGGGCCATGGCGTCCAATTACCATCTGGTGAAAGAGGTACATTTATTATACTTATTTTGGTGAACGAATATAAGTTATCTGCTTCTCAAAAAATGTGAAATAATTTAATCGAACTTTTTTTTAATACATTTAAAGGGAAAAATGAACTAAATAAAGTTACTTATATTATTATTTTGAAGTATTTAAACATCTATATATATATATATATATATATATATATATATATATATATATATATATATATATATTTGTCGCCGCAAGGATATCTTCTAAGCCTAAACTTTGCATTGTCTTTTAATTTTTTTATAAATTATAATTGTTAATATTACAATTTAATAACAGCAATTTATCAAAAACATAACATGTAACTAACTAGTTCTTTAAAAACTCTTTTGGTTTACAAATCTCTTTATTGACAACTAATTCCTGGTAAAACAACTATTTATTCCATTATCAACTTTTAACTCAAATATTGTTTTAAATCGCAGAATAAATAATTGTCGATTTGATT